TTTTTTTATTTATTTTCATTTTATATGCTTATTTGGAATTTACCAACTGCTTATTTCTGGTCTACTATCTGTGTTATCACTCCACACCTATGGTATGTTTCAATACTCCCGATAATTGCTAAATATTCACGACATTATCCATTCGCCCAAATTAGTCTAAGCGACACAGAACTAGCAAAAACGAGCTTGTGTTATTTGAGGATCGATTTTATATGTAACTGTTTTGGCAGACTTATGAAAGTGATTTTATTTTGTTCTCAAAACTGTAGAGCTTTTAGCTTTATCATGGCCTACTATCCACTTTAATATTTTTATTTTGCTCGAGGGACAGACTAAGTTGCTACTCACTTTACTAATACAGTTATCAAATTAGCCTAAGCATCACTCAACTTTACATGCTTCTCTCTTGCCATTGTAAATTTTAACCAATTAAGTCGGTTCCATGCCGATTTGGGAAGTCATACATAGATTCAAACCACTATTACAATTTTGTTAGTTCGGTACAGCAACACTTCTCTACTTCATATTTTACTTTTGTGTCACAGGCTTTAGTCATTTAGACTTTCCGGATATCATGTTGACCTTTGAGGTCATTCTCAATTTTTGCTTCAGATGTATGCGTGGTATGAAACCAAAATAAATATTTTTACCACCATCAAGTTCCTAGGCTTCTTGGTTATTTTTCCTTACCTTCGTAGGTAAAAGTGGCTTCAATTCCTTTCGAAAGTCACATTATTGAATGCCCTTTGGAAGCTCAAATTTAATTTTCGTTTATAAGCCGAGTTTCAATATGGGAAAATGTCTTGCCTCTGCTCAGTTGCGCTCGTGGCAATGTGGCGGAGTTGGTAATGTATCGAGTTTACACTCTGCAGTCGTGGTTCGGCTCCCGCTGGGGGTGTTTGTAAGACCTATGGGAGGTCAAAACTGCTTCCATCCTGGATAAAAACAACTTTTGGAAATGCAAAGCTATGTGAAGCGTAGGCTCTACTCATATCATTATGGGAAAATTCAACTGCCAGTCCTTCATCACCTTAAACAAAATGGGGGGAATACAGTTTATATAGCTCACATTTAATTTAGGATGATAAAATTATTGTCTGTTCGACTTCGTTTTCGCAATTTGATCGAAGCGTCGGGGAGACCTTGTAGTCGTGTGTCTTCTACCATATCACTCGTGATTCCCAACATCGGACCTTTGACTTGGTACATTCCAAGACGTCTCGCTGGCACCATCAGTGAGAGGCGCCATCGTTAACACAGAGTTATAACTTAGCAGTGGCAAGTGAAGGCAATCCTCATACAGAAAGCTGCACCATCTTGGTCTTTATATGTATGAAAAATATTGTCCACAGCTACTTTCTGTTATACGATTTAAGTCTATATGTGTACTCATTTTTTATTCCAAGCTTACTCTGATTATTAAATAATAGAGACTATTTGAAAATTTATTTCTATTGAGATTAGAATCTTTTTCTTAAATTTAGGTCTGAAAGTTGAAATCACCCACTGTGGCGCCATGCGCCGTAAATATCGAGTCTGCAGCGTCACACGGCGCTCAGCTCAAACTCAGTCCTTCCCGCTTCAGCTAGATACCGGACAGACGGTCGAGTGTACCGTAGCCAAGTACTTCGCCGAGCGTTACCATCTCCGTCTCGAGTATCCACATTTGCCCTGTCTACAAGTTGGACAGGAGCATAAACACACATACTTGCCTCTAGAGGTCTGCAACATGATGCCTGGGCAACGGTGCATCAAGAAACTGACTGATATGCAGACTTCTACGATGATCAAGGCGACAGCGCGCTCGGCACCCGATAGGGAGAAGGAAATCAACAGTCTTGTGAGTCGATATAATTAAATACACTTGATAAAAACTCGGAAGTTTTATCTGGGCTTGGATTAACTGTCTATGAAAGTATCCTCTATATAATTATCAATCAATTTTGTATTATTGATATGCCGAATATACCCCATATAACTAAGAGTCTACTTCAAAAATTATTTTAGAATTACATTCTTTGATAAAAACAAA